CTTAAAGTATGAAGGAATTTCCAAAACGTAAATTACTTCGAAGAATATCCATCTGATGAGAAAATATACTGTGACCATTAAAGTGGCAAAAAATTCAGGTCTTTTTTTTTGTGCACGAATTTGGAAGAAATTTGAAAATTGTGTATTGTACGCATTATTTTCTGTCAATTCAGCAATATTTATCTTTCTTGCGTAAGAAAGAAAAAGTCACGCAATAAAAATTTCAAGAATGAAAAATGTCGATACACTAAAAATATTTATAATTGAAAAGAAAAACGGAACTCACCAATAACAGCGACGTATTTCATCATTTTCGGTTTTTGTATATTGACTTGTCGAACTTCAAACAGGTAATTCAAACTTTTGATATGCGCGAGAAAGTGTTGAAAAAAATGTGAGTCTTTCTTTCTGAAAACAAATGGATCACAAATATTCATCAGCCACCAAAAAATAATAATATTCTAGACATGCATATAAAAATCCACTGACAGCAGAATAGTATCCAAAGTTTTCGACTCACAAAATTGTAATCACCGAGTCAAATTAATCCCAAGTTCTTCACCACAGCATTTTCCGTTAACCACCAAAATTCTAGCTCGAATAGCATAAAATTTTGAAACCGTTTACAGCCGTTTTACAAAAACAATAATCCTATCCTTTATCCCACAAAACAAAAACAAAATCATCTTTCGCATCATTGAAAAAAAAATTGCTCAAATATCTCTGGGGTCATTCAAAACTCGCGATAATATTAGCACTTCGAAAAAAAACACTCTGTTAATACGGTCGATTTAGTAAAAAAAAAATTATTTGACAGAGATTTAATTTTCACATAAATATTAAAATACTGCCTTTTCTTCAAAAGTAGCTCAAGATCACAGCTTTCACTTTTTTTTTTTGGCTGAATCGACACGAAAGAAATATTTGTTCTGTCCTCATCCGAAATAAAGGTATATACACAAAAATTGTATCTACAACGATTTGCCCTTATAAATAATCTTTCGTTCATCTCAAATTTAAGGTTCCCTTGATCCATGTTATATAGCTGTTATTCTCCATATAACGAAATTCTCTCTCTCTCTTTCTCTCTGCAACGAATTCGTTCAGGTCCCTTGAATGACATACTGTACTAAAAAAAATCTACGATTAAAAAAAATAACTCAACTTTTCCGGATATCCACTATATATATAAAAAAGAATGCGCTGAAGCTGGACCTTAAATACCCGCGCGGAACGACGCCCCTCCGCATGACCGGTGCAACATCCACAAACAATAACAGGACCCGGGTTACACGGGAACCCCGAGAGAGAAAAAAAAAGAACCCCGTACGAGAAAAGAAAATAAATAAGGAAGATGAATCCCCCCCCCCCCAACATCAACAAAAAAATGCGCCCACGAAGAATTGGTCATTTTTATTTATTCTTATAGCGGTACCAGTTTTATATACATGAGATGGGAATAAGAAAGATAATTTTTGAGAGGAATATAATGTCTGCAGAATTTCCGAATTTTCTGCTCAAATTGATCCATATATAGGAGCAACTTTTCACAGGAATTTCAGATTTCGGAATAACATTTTCTGCTGCTATATAGAAACTTAATTGTTGCGTAAGACATTCTCTGAATTTCCCCCCTGGATTTGAGCACTTTGTTCTAAATCTTATTCGAACGTTTTTTGAAGTACGAAATTTAATGAATCGTGAAAATTTTAGAAGAAAATAAATGCCTGATAAATTTAATCCTCTCGAAAAAGATAATCAAAGAATTATCTTCCATTTATTGTTCCCTTCAAAATCAGAGGTAGGCTTTTCAGATTTCCCTCTGGCAAGGTCAGATTTTTTTCTTAAATAATAAATCGTGACGATTTGGAAGCTGGAAATCTCTTCACTTATTTTTTGAATTTCAAGTAGCTTAAAGTCTTCAAACTATCCAGAATCACCAAATCGAAAAGCTGAATATTTCTCACTGGAAAATATTATTTCGCAAAATTTCAAAGGCTATTATTCCAAAAATAATTAAGATATGTGGCTCAATTTTTCAAGAATTCCGACTATAGATTCCTGAAACATTTCAAGATCCGGAAAAAATTCTGTATTTCAATTAATCCAATAAAAGTATTTGGATTTTAAACTCTGCGAAACTGAATCTGATGGTTCTTCAAGTATAAAAGCAGTTTTTAAATAATTTGATTGCAAGAAAATCTCAGGAATTTTTTTAAAAATTCCCATCTTAGCTCATTTCTTTTTTTTTTAAATGAGCGTAAGTACTACAACAAATTTAAATTTCGGAAATTTTGTTGTGATACTTGAGTTTCAAGACATACTTTTCCACTCTTTTTGGGAAACTCATTTGACTATTTTTCAGGCGAAAAAAAGCTTTGGAATGTATGTATATATCATAAATCTTGAAATCCCGCTTTTGAACCCTGACCTCTCAAATAGTTTTGAAATCCAGAACTTTTTCTTGCAATTTAAAACAAAATTAAAATACAGTACTGTACCTTTTTTTAGGCACGGAGATTCAGAGAATCCAATTAATCGCCACATTGTTCGACGATATAGTGATTCGTGTTTCATGTACTTTTTCTCGAGTTACTGAACCATCACTCAAAACGGTACTTGACGTAGTACATTCACAAAGTAAGTACCAACCCTTTCAAAAATAAACAGTTTGATTGAGCAAAATTTCTCTCAATCAGCTTGTGCTCTGTGCATGTGACTATATACGAAGTCGGTTTGAGTTGTTTCTTTTCCACAGAGCCAAAAAAAGAACATTTGCAATGACAACATTATTTTCTAAAGAATGAAAAGTTAGTAAACCTGTTCTAGATAACGTGAAAAAGCTGAATATTTGTATAAAGAGCATTTCAATAATGGCAATTTCAAAATCTTTAAAAAAATGCAGCGGCGCATTTTCCAGTTTTCTTCGAGAAAACTTATCTGTTCAGAATTTTCTCAACTTCTGTCTTATATGATCAATTGAAGTATCATTAGTATTCGACTAAAGTTTCTTTTCTGTTCCATTAAAAGTCTGCATTTTGAAACAGCATTCATGCTAAAGTTTGAATTTGGTCTCACAAACACAAGCATAATAATTCAAGGCAGATAAATAAAAAATAATAATTTCTGCAATAATATATGTCCCAAGAATGGTCAACATTGGTTGAAAGAGTACTTTATTGAGCAGCAAACATGATTTTTATCATTGAAGATAAACAGCCTGCTGACAGACAAATCAGCAAAAACTTCTCCACAGTTACTTTCTGAATATTGTGTCACAAATTGAATTGTCTTCTTTATGGGGATGACAGGGTGCCTGTGAAGTACTGCAAGTACTTATAATTCTAAAATGGCTTCCTCTTTTGCAAACCAATTTGAATGGGAAGAGGTAGGATGAGGAAGAATAATACATCTTAAGGAATGCAGTCAGGAGAGTTTGATCATAACAATAAATGTTTTGTTCAGATACATGGTGCATGAAACTCTCAAATGAAATATAATTCTTACAAAAGAATCCTCTATTTTCAAAGGCCTTGGTTCATGAGATTCTGCCAGAACCAAGAAAGAAATAAATAAATTTGCACACAGAAAAATATGGTAAAATAAATAATTTCATTAAGAGAATTCATGTACTAGAATCAATTATTCATGATGATATTTTTATATACAGCTGGTACATTGGAATTAAACCTCCCACAATTGGACTGCCCATCAATTTGACCCTTGCCCCACAATTCAACCTGCTTCGGCCAATTTTTTTTTGCACTTTTGTACTGATATATTTCTGAATTTCACAGTGTCTTGAAATTTGACCCAAGTCTAGCAATGGATTAGGGTTTAATATTAAGGTACCATCTGTATTTAGGTGGACTCTCTTGTCTACAATAAAATTCTAAGAACCAGAAAAAGGTTATTGTATGGAGAGAATTTCACCATGGAGAACCACTATGCATGCATAAAGAAACATATTGGACAAGGAAAAATTTGTGTATATGGAGTGGAAAGAACTTTTTGTCCATGAAGATAAAATTTTTTTTCACCCCTTTTGCCTCCTGAATTTTCTTTAGAATTCCAAATCAGCAAAAATAGCTTCATTCTGAAAATGTTTCAGCACTGCATTTTTGATTTTCAAGACTCCTCAATTGAAAGAATAATAGATAAACTGGGGTTTGTAGACAACAAACAAAAAATTTTCCCATCACAATGTATGTTTGCTGCATTAAGTTCAAAGTTTAACAAAATAAATTTGATCCTTCTTTCAAGATAAATTTCAAGTTTTTACCTCAACTTATGGTGGTTTGCAACAACTTCAATAATGTGAACCATTCTTCATGCTAAATATCCTGGACTCAAGCATTGAAAATCAGCTAAAATTTTCTTTTGAAAAATTACAAGGCCAAGTCCTCTGCAATCAGTTTCAAAGTATAGTTTAATTTTGCTGCAGAAAAATTTGATATTTTTTACAGAGCTTTGGCTTGAATAATGAAAACCCGTGCAAATGTCTTTAAGCTGAACACCACATAGTTTGAATTCAGATTTTCAGAAAATTGATTTTCAAAGAATACAATAACATCCATGCTTGACAAGCATTGAGTTGTTATTTATTTCAATTATGAAATTCCGAGTACCTGACTACCTGCTGATCAAGACTATTTGTAATCCTCTCTCACTCGCTGTCTATGTTGATTCTCAAGAAAATTAATCTTTTTTTGCAGATAAATAGGAGATAATCCCTATAGAACGCGTATTCGGAAAGAAGTGGAAATGCGAGATGACGCAAGTGTTTCAGAAGACTCAAACATCATAAACGTTTTCACGAGGCAAGTGGAAAATTGTGCCTCCGGCAGAAAAGTGGCCGTAAGAAATTCAGCATTAAATCCTAGGTCAGCTCTTCTTCATAAAAAATCCCAGTATACGAAACCGATTTCAGAAACGCATGAGAAAAATTCTCAAAAAGACCTTCAAACTGCCGTAATATTTTCCCCCCGAGGAATCTTCACGCTTTTCGGATCCGCCGAGTCCTTGATTTCCTTGGTCTCTATTTAAAAAGTAACACCAGAAAGAAGTGAGAACATCCTCTTTTCAGGATTTCTAAATTTTCCACAATAGAAAAAACTGCAAACACTAAAGGGTCTTCATATGAAATGTCTTCTTTCCTCATACCAAATATTTCACACCTAAAGAATACTTTACTGAAATATCATGAATATTTGGAATTCTCAAAACATAATAGTAAGGCTCTCTTCAAAATCGTAGATGACCAAATGCAAATGAAACATTAGTTTTTGTACAATTTCTGGACAAAGATTCTTTTCAAATATGTACAGTAAATTGAAAATTATCTGGAAATAAGCCGGGCATNAAGTAGTTGGTGCTAAGTGTTACAGGGGGTCAAGGGCTCATCATCCCCGCGGGGATGAAGTGCTTATATATACAGTACGCGGGATTGAGTAAGACTCACGAAATATACAAATATTCTTTTTTTTTCTCCGGCAAGAATTGTCCAGCCGAAAAGAAGGAAAATACAAACGAAACTTTAATCCGGCTTTAATCGCCGAGGAGAGAAAAAAATATTCTCGGATGCTGAAGATGAGACGATTCCTGAAACACAAAAAGAAATTACGTTGGTTATACTTGGCAGAGATCAAGAAATTTATAATAGCAACATTGCAAAATTTTAAGCCCCGGGATTTAAAATTTAAACATTTGAGGATGCCAGGTTTTTTTAATCTTTGCAGATATTATTTTTTCGCGGTGGTGCAGGATTATGCTGCTTAATTTCGCAAGAACTTGTTCTGTAGCTATATTCAAGTATGAGCAAGTTTTGTTCACGACCTTCAAATGAAAACGACATTCTTCTGTTTGACTGCAAACATTCTGTAGTTTTCTTTTTCATGGAAATGTGTAAGAAATTTTACATCGCCATATTTTTTTATGTGGAAAGATTATCAGCATTCTGGAGATTTTATGCTTCAAAGAAAACTGAACATAATCACATGAATAGTCACTGGAATGTAATTACTGCGAATTTTGAAACATAGAACTCATTTTCAAGAAGCATGAATCTTCCAGAATATTCGGATGACTAATTGACGCCATAATTATTTCAAATGCAAGTTCATTTTTGATTATGAAACAAGCTGCTGAAATTTTGCTTTCTAGCATATGACTTTGAGTGAGAATATGAATATCTGACATTTTTGCTTTCTAGCATATGACTTTGAATAAGAATATGAATATCTGACATTTTTTGCTTTAGTCAATTTTTGTAAGAATTTCAATATTGTCATCCAAGGTTGGTGTCCCAGGACACTCATAAAATATCCTGCTAGTGTGATTGTCAAATGTTGTATTCCAATCACCTACTTTCATGTATAATGGTCATGTATGGATCAGGTTTACTTTCTGTGGTTCATGACTGGTCATTCACCTGTCTCTTATGAATCTATAAAAGAGGTGCCCAAGTGCTTCCTCAGTATTCCTTGCTTGTTGAGAGTCTGTTGAGGTTGTTGCTGTACAAAATATATTGAACATTTTGGTAAGAGAAGCTACTTTTCATTTCACAAACCTGGCTTTAGAGTTAATACTTTTCATTGAAGTTTATTCCTAGCTGTGAGTTTAAGCTAAGTTTGAGTCTTCTGCAAAGAGACATCAATGCAGTTGATTCTGTCATAGTTTATTATTTTGGCAACATAGGATAACAATATAGACCTCTTCTAACTCCTACCCAGCAAATAATGGCGTTGGGCTGTGAACCGTTGAGGAAATTGACTGTCAACAGGTTCTGGAACCCATTCTCAGAATGGTTGGGAGCAGAGCCCAACAACCTGCTGTGGCATTCTCAGGGAAGTGTTCCAGGACTCATTGGCAGTCCATTCAGAACACAGCTGGAGAAGAAGCCATGCTGAGAATCATGTTTGAATGGTATACTCCCAATGTTTCCTGATGAGCAATAAAAATGCGCCCCTTGTTGAGAGCACTGTTCCAGAATGCAGGGCTGGTGCATTTTGGATTGGTACACCCAATGTTTTGTGGGCAATAAAATGCACCCCCATTCAGAGCATCATTGAACAATGCAGTAGCAACGCATTAGCAATGTACACATATGTAAACATTAAAATATAATTGGAGACAATATCAATTTTGCCAATTTAAACTGAAATGTCCTTGAAATTCAAGTCTCAGTTGAGACAATGTACCTGCAATGTTCACTTGAACATTGCTGATTCATTGTTGAGTACAACTGTAAATTTTGCTGAAAAAATTAGGCAAAATCTAAAATGATCTTCAAACTTTGAAGATCTGTAAAAAATTCCCTAATTAAGATACAAGGGAGTTCAAAAAAGCAAATGTTCCTCAAGACAAGGCCTTGTTTTTAAGGCCTTGTTGTCATCACATACGGCAATGTACTGCAATGACATGCGATGACATGCAATGACATGCAATGACCTGCAATGACATGCGATGACATGCAATGACAATGACCTGCAATGACATGCAATGACATGCGATGACAACAGTTTTCATTGCATGTCATTGTATGTCATTGCAGTACATCACAGTATGTGATGACAACAAGGCCTTAAAAAACAAGGCCTTGTTTTAAGGAACATTTGCTTTTTTTAAACTCCCTTCTATCTTAATTAGGGAATTTTTTACAGATCTTCAAAGTTTGAGGTTCATTTTGGATATTGCTCTATCTTTAACAGTGTATTCACTGTATTGCAATTCTTTGGAGCTGGATGATCTTGCTCCAAGAATTTATTTGGTTCTGCATTTGTTACAGTAAATTAATATTGAACATTGCAGACAATTTTTATTAATAAGTGTTTTTCAGAGAAAATGCTTCAAGAATCATTTCAGCATCAAGGTAAAAAAGGTCAGATTTTTGAATGATGGAAATGTTGGTGAGGTGTTTCACACAAGAAATGATTTCCTGAACTAATTTTACACCTCAAAAGCACTCCACATCCTAATTTTCTGAATTGATCTAATAATACCTCATTTTAGTTTAAGTAGCATAAGTATTTGCATTGTATCTAGCTTGTGCATGCATAGCTAGATGTGAAGGTGACTGACTCTCACTCAGATGGCCCCAGTTTGAAACCCAGCAGGAGCATCATTGGGACAGCAGATTGAAAGCAAAGGAGCAGCAGCAGTAAAGAATATTGTGAACAGAAATCACACAGAGATGAAGTAAACAAGAAAGAGGAAAGAGTATAACACAAAGAAAGCAAAATAAAGAAGAAAACAGCAGGAATTGAATGGGAATTTCATTTTCTTTTTTTCTACATGGAGCAGTGTATCCCTGAGGTTGTTTTCAGAATGGGTGTGCAATGGGTTTTGAAATGCATTGAACAACAGTAATTCAAAGGGAGGGGTGGGGGGTTGGTCACTGACACTGGGAAACAGGGGGCTTTGGCAATGCATGCTGGCATGCATTCCAGAACAACCCAGGGAACAACTGCTACCCCAGCCATTAGACAGTGACCAAACGGCCATTAGCCCAACGTTCTGGTCAAAACGGCTTGCCAATGGAGTTGCAATGCAGGTTGCAATGACAAGATTATTTGCTGGGTAAGAGTATTACTCAAATTTCTAAAAGCCTTTCGGATATCATTTCAAAGGCACAGGAAACAAAATATCAACAAAAATGTAACCTGATGCATTTTTCAAAAGAAAGCAAGAACAAAATTAAAAAAGGGATTAATGTCTCCAAATTCAACACCTTCTGTCCACTCATTTACAAAGCATTTTAAATCCCAGGATGTCACCAAATCACATGTCTTAATTTTTTTTAACCAAAAAAATTACTTTTTCCAACTGGGAAATCCTTTGAGGGAATTTTCTGGGAGGTCCCTCGGAGTTTGACTTAAGAAGGATTACCTTTATTACAGCGGTTTATGCATCCAAAATACTGCACATTGTTCAATGCCTGAAAAATAATAATAAACTTGATCTAAAATATTTTATTCAAAAGTACTGCAATCTCAAATCCGAGAATGCATCAACCTTGAGAGCATTCCATAAAAAATACCCTAAAAAACTGCCAAACTCTTACCAGCAGCCAAAGAATCTCAAACTCTATAAACATTCGGATCCTTGCGTCAGTTTATATCGTAATCTGAACTTTTTTTGTTAAATTTTGAGGATCTGGGAAAAAATCATCAACCATAAAACCCTTCCACGTTTTCGGCTTCATTTTTCTACGATTATAAGAAAGTATGCAAATACACATTAAAAAAGCAGAGGCATCCCGGAAGAAGCCATTCGAGAATGCCATGAATCTTTTTTCGTTATTTTTCACTGATATTTTTTTTTCGCTCAATCCTTATTTTTTCCCCTATGTATTTCAAGATTGACGTCTGGCGTCGCATGACTGAGTTAAACGTCACCTTGGCCACACACCAAGTCAAACAGAGAGACATAAATTCTTCAGTGGAGCCCAAAACCCCAGATCTTCCTGAATTTATGTTTGGAATTTTTCTCCGCCCTTGTGGCTTTGGAAATAAAATAAAAAATTATACGCATAAAATATAAAAATTTATGTATCTATATATTTTATTTTGGGGGTGTTAAAACACTTGTTTTATTCTCGGGTTACATGACTCTCTCTCTCGAATATGATGTAATGTTGTCAAGGAGGTTATTTGAAGAGTCCTTGTGGGATACAATATCGGATCTGTGGTCAATAATGAAGTTGAGAAACCTGTTCCGGTTGGGATGGGAACCCACATCACGCCTGCAATATAAGCTTCTGTCCAAGGGTTGCCACGTTTCCAATAATGGATGAAAATGGCCACCAATGGGGACTAAAGAGCAAATTCTTTTGCACATTAACCCGTGCTTGGACGGTGGGGCTGAGATTTAGTCCCAAAACTTTCTGCAACAAGGAGTAAAGAGAAAAATAAGAATGAGTAGAAGAGCTGAAGTCAGGAAAAATAACAATTTTTTTGCCTTCCTGCAGGAAATTTGCCAAAAAAAGAAAAAAAATTTACTGTTTGGTGGCATTTTTGCTGCATTATTACTGCCATACGATTAGCATTGAGGGATTATCAGAACAATGGTTTTCTCGTTTGAGGATGTTTCTGTCAGGGACCGTAAGGTGTCGCCCTTTACGCTCCAATCACTGCTACACCTGAAAATGCCACAAACACATAAACCATTAATATTTCACAACCCTGCTTCTGACCACAAGAACTCACCTCAACTCGACCTTGGAAACCAGTTTTCCAGTACTGGTCCTGGAACTCCGCAGCACCAAAGATCGTCACTCATCTTGAGATTCTCGTAGCAATTGGTTCCTGAAAGTGCTCTTGAAAAAGTGTGTCTTCCTGATTCCTGAAAGTGAAAACTGTTGTCAATTTGTGTTACTGAATTACACCATTCGAGGAGACCTAGTCTCGGCCGCAAATAACGGCCTATTGTGCCTTCCTTTATTTCCTAAAACTTTTATTTCTTTGTCTTTGGCTCTTTGGAGTCTCTGACAAAATTGGTGGCCAGTGAGTGTGTGCAAACACTTCTGGCAAAGTGTAAAACCCTACTCTTTCAATTTCGAAGTGCACAAGTGCTTTACCAACAAGTTCCTCAGTGCTAACCGCAACTGTTAGTGTCTCGCTTGAACAAACTACGTGAATTACGCCTCACAAACATTCCTTGAACTCCTTACAACCAAAAACGCACCATGCCACGTCATCGACTCCTTACAGGAAACTCGCTAACTCGAACATCTGGAATACCTCATCATACACCACCCATTGGAGAAATTTCTACCACAGACCCATTAAACTTACCTTCAACATCCACATCACATCGGGGAAATACACGCCGCCTCGGTCGTCCACCACTCAGATTACCACCTTCAACACCTCCAGGCTCACCCTCAATCTGCAGGGAAGATACGTCATCAGCTTCTGCCGAACGACAACCATATCTCAGCCTCCGCAGAACGACAAAATGACTTCTTGCCATTGCCCAAGCTATGGTCCTGGGAGATCAAACACATACCCAATCATTAACACCAACAACCCAATCTACTTTCCGCCGCATTCACCGTGCACTCATATCTGCATCGGCATACATCCTTAACATACCTACAACCTCTTATGACGTCCAAGAAGCACAGCAGATCCAACAATTACAACAAGAACTTAACAACATTGCCCTTCATTCTCTGGACCAACTACATTCTGACTGGTTAACACTACAGCCAATGCAAAATTTTATCCTAGGAGTTTCATTTTCCATATTACAAACAAACCCTGAAGAAAACACTATCCCCTCTGTTGAACCACAAACTTTACAAAATCCGATCCAACAACCTCAGCAACAAGCCCTACCAACAAATAACCAACAAAACCTCAATATTTTTCCAGCCAACATAACTAATACACTCAAAACGGAAGAAGATGCTGACCCCTATCCATCCGCAGTCCTCATTTATGCTACTGGACCTTGCCCCTCACAGACATCCGACAAATATGTCACAAACTACGAAAAACGATCAGCCCTTCCAAACTTTAAACAATTCTCCAGACTGCCAGAAAGTACCTACACATTTGAACGTCTATGGTCACATTTCAAAAACGTACACATCTTACCACGCAATTATATTACACCCGCTGAACAAATCCAACTACTCCACTGCCATCTTAGCAAACGCGCCTTTGACATTATCAACCGCCATAAGGACAAATCAACTGAAGAAGACTACCTAAGAATTTTACGTACCCTATTCCAACAATACGGCAACATCCAATCACTCCGCCTTGCTCTCTACAATCAATTCGCAGAACTCAAACCAACCGCAAATACACCTAGTGCTCTAGCTGATTACTTAGAAGACATCATTGCTATCACGGAACAACTAAACAACCTACGGACAAACATGCCACAAGTACATACTCGGTTTTGGCTTCACATCAAATCCTTCTTACACCAAGCTGGACACTGGACTAATGTCCGCCTCAAAATGCGCTGCCACCAACAAGAAGATCCTGAAGACACCAACACATGGACCGATTACCCTGAGAACAGATACAAATGGATCAAAACCTATCCCAGTTCCAACAATCCGACCACAACTACAATCAATACTCTCACCTTCCTCACACGCCCATCATCTACAAAAGATAAAACCTCAGAAAAAGACTCCGAAGCACGTTGCAAAAAATCCGATCAATCCCGACACTCCAGACCTTCCAAATCTCCCGACCGCAGGAACAAACAATGTTCATCTCCCACAAGACGACAATCCAGAACACCTTCTCGGAGACGCCACCGCCAATCCTCTCGCAGCCGCTCCCAAACTCCAGATCGCCGATCACGTCCATCCACGTACTCATCTTCAAGAAACCAGAACATTTCCAACAATCAAAGAACTGGATACAATTGCCCATTTTGTAACTCTACACACACATCCACCAATTGTCGCCTAAGCATAGAAGACCAAATCAGTGCCACCAATACCAAACAACTCTGTTATAACTGTCTAAGCTCCAGACATCATTCCACCTTATGTCAAAGCTCCAACCGATGCCGCAACTGCACCGGTAAACACCACACAGCACTATGCCAAAAATCAAACAACAACCAACGTAACAACTATCCTCCATCCTCCTACGTCAGACAGAATAACTATCACAATCTACGACAAAATCCACCTCAAAGAGGAAATTACAATAATTGCCCCCAGTACAACAACCGATCACAATACAACAACCGTCCTCAACAAAATGAACAACAATATAACAATCAACGCTACAACAACCGCAATAATTACAATCAACAACAAAATAACCAACCTCAAAATCAGAACAATCGAGTTAATCTTGCTCAACTTGTCCAAGAAATCCACACACGCCTACCGGCCCAAGCAGCACCTGCAGCTCCACCCGCAGCTCCACCCACAGCTCAACCACCTCCCCAACCAGCAGCCCCTGCAGCTGCATCAGCATGACTAGCACATTCATATTCTATAACCACATCCTCTTCCTACTCACTTCTTGAAACAGAAGCCATTTGCCTCTTTCCACATGAAGAAACCGCATACGCACTCCTTGACTCCGGTTCACAACTCACAATGATCACACAACGACTCGTCAATCGCCTGCACCTACCAACAAAACAAGGAAACATCACACACACAATTTCAGGCATAGGAAATGCAACAATCACATCAAACACAATTACACAACTACGTATACAAAACCGTCACAAAGACTTCTCCATCTTTACAACAGCTGTTGTTGCGCCAATTAATGAACCCTGGACTGCCAAAAACCCACATAACCTCCAACATCTCTCTGAATTCCGAAGCCTCCTAGCTGACCCTCGCCTAATTTCAAATAGCAAAGTAACATTTGATATTATTCTGGGGGGCAAGGATCTTGTACAAATACACGCACCCCATACAGACTCCTATTGGGATAATTCCACATTCCAAATCATACCAACACAACTAGGACTTACTGCCAGAGGCATTTGGACAGAATCTAAACCAAACCTCACTACTTCCTACCGCAGTCACCTTACACTTGGATTTCCCACTAATACATTTGATGATGAACTCTCTGACACTATTATCAAATATTTACACCAAGACTATGTCAATACTCTTGGAGATGACAACGAACTTGAACCCTACCAAGATGAACAGTACCTTCAATATCTACAGCAGATCACCATCAGCCCGCAAGGTTGCGTTGTAGAACCTCTCCTGAAGTCACATCTCTATCCCGCATATTGCACACCAAATGCAATCACTGCAACCACACGCAGCAAATCAGTCATCCGCCTTCTGGAAAAAGGAGGCCCATTAGCAAAAGCACACACAGACTTCTTCCACCAATGGATAGAAGACGGAATCATAAAACAAACAACACTTGAAGAACTCCAACAACATGGAACACCCTACACCAAACTACCTCACCATGGCGTTGCACAACCCGAAAGCGCTAGCACACCACTCCGTGTTGTCATGGCAGGAAACGCCTCTGATAAAGGCAAATACTCCTGCAATCAACTCCTTGTCTCTGGAACAAACCTACTACCAGAAATTGTAAAAATCCTCCTATGCTGGTGTTTCACACACTTCTTTGGAACTGCGGACATCAAAAAAGCATTTGTCCAGGTCCAACTTGCAGAAGAAGACCAATGGGTGCTTACAATATGCTGGCCCACAAAACAACCTGATGGAACCTACAAACCTACATACTACAGATTTTTACGCCTACCTTGAGGCATTAACTGCGCCCCCTTTATCCTCAACGCTGCCGTTTGCTACCTTTACATTCAAGCCCTAAAAGAAAACATCCTAACCCAAGCAGAACAAGAAGAACTAAACAATAACACCTACGTTGACGACATCTTTGTCACTGGCAATACACCAGAGGAAATACAAGTCAAACTTGATCATGCTCAAACAGCACTGGCAAAAGGAGCCTTCCAATTGACAAAACAAAAAATCTCACCACAACCAAATAATCCCCAAAATACTACTTACAAAGTCCTTGGAATACCATATGACCCTGTCACAGACCTAATAGCAGCATCAGGAGCATCCCTACAAAAATTCCTAAGCATTGAAAAGCTCACATATTGGCACATTGCAGGCTTTGAAGCCAGACTCTTTGATATTATTGGAATAGTTGCACCTTTTACAGCACACATCAAGATACAACAATTACACAACCAAGGAAGGAATCACCAAACAGACGCAATTTCGCATTGCCATCGTCCGCAATCTCTGGAAAACGTTTTACGATGGTTATATTACAACCCTTCGACAATTCCCATCAAAAAAGCAACCGAAACACCTTGAACACCTGGAACCAATGGAGGGACAAATTGTTCTCCTAAACCAAAAAGCATTCAAAAAGGACACACCTATGGGGCGTCTGAAGTGGAAACTTTGCCGCATCATCCATGTACATTGCAGCAAACGTGACGGCAAGATCAGATCAGTTGATGTCCTCACATCACGCCGCTACAATCACAACGGCACATCTACACCACATATTCTGAAAAATCAATCAATACAAAATCTCATCCCATTAGAAATTCAAGACCGCCAGACAACAAACGCAATTAATCATACAACAGCTTCATGAAACAAATTCATTCGACTAGACAAATTGTTCTCCTAAACCAGAAAGCATTCAAAAAGGACACACCTATGGGGCGTCTGAAGTGGAAACTTTGCCGCATCATCCATGTACATTGCAGCAAACGTGACGGCAAGATCAGATCAGTTGACGTCCTCACATCACGCCACTACAATCATGACGGCACATCTACACCACATATTCTAAAAAATCAATCAATACAAAATCTCATCCCATTAGAAATTCAAGACCGCCAGACAACAAATGCAATTAATCATACAACAGCCTCATGAAACAAATTCATTTGTCTTTTCGGAACAAAACTTAAGAAATCGCATCGCATCAACAAAAAAGCTCAACGCACAGAAGCGCCCTTTTTGAACAAATTGCCACAAACAAGTCTCACAACGAACCCCTTAACCTCCTTCACCAATCTTTGTACCTCATTACCCGCAACACGTACCAACCAAGGGAAAACTTCCTCTTCAAAAAACGAACCCAACGTCTTTACTTAGCCCTCACTTCACTGTCCTGCACCAACTGACAACCACCCTTCCCAACTACCCAGTACAAAGCCCAGTGTACAACAGCAACCACCTTCTCAACTCCTGTCGCCTTGATAACGACAACATCTCCAGTTATAAAACGTCCATCCTTTCCACGTTGACAACCAGTGGACGCCAAAGTATCCGTTGCAAATGTCTCACAGTATCCTCCATCCAAGATACCCACACATCTGAGCAAAGTAAACCCTCAAAATCCAAAAAAACTATCTCAAAACACAACCATCACTTACTTGTCAAAAGGATTCTCCTTAATCCCTTGACCACCAAAAGACACCCTGCCAACAGCATCATAAAGGCAAGGGCGATACACCTGCCGAACAACATGCTGATGGCTGGACAAAGGAGACTTGCCCTCAACTGCTGTCCCATCATCCAACCACATAGGGCCCTCTCCAGGACATAGAGATGTATC